GAAACTGAGGCGGCACATTAGTGTTTATAACCCTTGTTACAGATATTCAAAAATAATTTAACACAAAAAAGTAATTGCATAAATGACTGAGGACTAAAAAGAAGAGCTTGGGGTTTTTTTTAAAGCAGAGATATGTACATAAGGAGTTTGTAGATTTTAAATTGTGTAAACAAAATGATATTACATTGCACTGTGCTGCTATTCTTATTTTGTTTAAATACTGTGTCTGCGAGTGTGAGTGTGAGTGTGAGTGTGAGTGTGAGTGTGAGTGTGCGTGTGTGTGTGGATACTATACTGTAAAGTAGCCCGAGTGGAGATGAATTGACACATTAGTGCCGGGGCTCTTTAACGATTTGTCAAAGGAAATTAGAGCGACTGCTCTTTATGACGGTGCTGCATAGGAAAGTAACTGGGGGAGAATAATTTAGTCTCAATTCATTTTAAGCTGAAGGCAGGTCAGGGTTGAATTGCACCATTTGGCTTTCGAAACTAATGTCCATGCATATCTTGATTGCCTGAACAAAAGCGCAGGGTGGCCTTTATGGGTCCTGGAGGACGGGTGTGGGGAGGGCTCAGTCTGTAATGCTCATTGCCGGAGATGATCACTGACAGCTATAACCTTAAGGCACTATTACCACCAGCAGCAACCATCATTTGGATATTACATTCAACAATGTTGTTTAATGGGTTTGCCGTTGTAGCTGTGCTACAGTATGCTGTCACACTAGGGTAGGCAGTTGCTACCATCTTTGATTTCTTATACTGAATAGCAAGCAATACTATAATATCAAAGGCATTCAGATAATACTGTAATACTGCTCCTAGTACTAGACTCCTGGTACTAGGATGGGTTAAATGCAGAGAACAAATGTCACTGTGTGTGCTGTGTGCTCTGCATGTGTGACCATTAAAAGAGGGTTTCATCCCTCCATATTCTATTCTATCTATAAAGATAAATGATAGATGAAGTTCCATATTATAAATAACATACTACTGGAGCTTTCAATAGCTTGTTTGAATGTTAAAACTTTTCAGTGATGAAGGTTTATAATCATTTAAGATTATTTCAACAACCTTGAACAATTACATGGCTGCAGGATCACACATTAAGTAAATCACAGTAAAGATATTACATTGTGCTTAGAAGTCTAAGCATTATTTATAGCACACATAGATTCTCAAGATTTTTAAAAGCAATCTGGGCTCTTGTTCTTTCTGCTTGAACCGATTGTATTTGGAAGATGAGCCTTCCCTAGCAGGACCAATGCAGTCCACGATTAGAGTTCATCCTTCACATGGTACAGAAAAGGGTGATATTGACTGCTTCCACTTCACTGGAGTTAGATGTGATTGACACATAATGAAAGCAAAGCGGGGGAGGGAATACAAGGAAAAACATGTGTATGCTTTCCGTGGGCTTTCAAACATCTGATTTCTTTGCCATTAACTGTAGTTTGAAATATGTCCACCATCATTTCAAATATAGGATCACAACATTAGTGAAATGATATTTAGCCATCTAAAGGCCTTATAAGCCACCTCAATAAGTCATGTGGAGCAGAAAACTGATATGTTCATGTACTTGTTTGGCTAATCAGGATATTGCCACTAACGCACACAGGTAAGGCAAGGCAAGTTTATTTGTATAGCACATTTCAACACAAGGCAATTCAAAGTGCTTTAAAAAAAAATGAAAGACATTAAGAGCATTAAGAAACATATTATAAAATTACATTTAAAAACACTCATTTAAAAGCAAAGATACATGAATAAAAGTTACAGTGCAGTGTGAGATACACACATCTGAAATGTTTCGGTCTGACTCAATCATTGCTAACTTTTTTGCAGAAATAGTTTTCTATCACCTCCCTTTCTTTCTACTTTCTTGTTTAACTTGTCCTTTAGTTATTTCAAGTGTTTCATGCTAAACGAACCCCCCTTTGGAAAATTATAATCTGACCCCATGGTACCTTTTTGCCGAAACTATTCCTCTTTTTTAAATGCACATAGTTAAGTTTACCTTGTCTTTCTAGGACTTTTTTGGTATCCTCCGCAAACCAGAGTCTTGAAAAAAAAGGTAAGGGGTGTTTTACTGTAAATGGACATGTTATACGCACACCACCAACAGAATCATCCCGTCAACAGGGACCCTCCAATTTCACCTTGTACGGACAACAAGTTAAGGTCATACAGGCCTCGCAGAGTGTTACTGCCATGTGTGTTTATATATTGTATGTATATTGTGTAGATTTACAGTGCTGTGAAAATTAATTTCCCCCTGAGAACAATATCTAATCTAATCTAATCTAAACAATAACTCCCAATGCAGTGGACTATATAGGTTCAACTAATCACTGATACTGATTTTACTGTAGGCCTATAAGAAATCAAAGTATCTTCTGCTCAGGGGAGGGCATGTGCTGCTAACCTGCAAACAGTGCTGACATATAAACATTGAGCAGGGCGCTGTTGCTACTGACAAGAGCTGTGAGAAGGTAGATTCTGATATTAAGATATCTAACCATCTCTTCTCCACTACATGAGACTATCTAGCTGTAGGGGCTGGGGTTGGCATTAACCAACATTTCTTAATCCACATAACTCACACTAGACTGGCGTCTCTTAGATTTGCCTGACTATTGAAGTGAAGTAAAAAAAAAAAAATGGCCTTAGGCTTTTTGCTGCAGTCTTCTTTCAGACTTACTTGACCACCAAAGCAGCATGAAACACCAACATGTTCTAGAGTCTGTCTGAAGTCACATATAGCCAGAAACATGGAGACAAGTTTGGGCAGACATCAGTGTGCTGGCATGGCTTCTTCTATCACTAAGATATTAACTAGAAAGTATTTTGCATGGACAGTAGGGGAATCTGAAATCTTTAAGGGGTAGAGGAAAGGAAGGGGGTATAGGAAAGGAAGTAGAGGAAAGGAAGGGGTAGAGGAAAAGTATTTTTTCTTTAGTTTTACTTTTTCTTATTATATTTGTATTATATCATAACTTAGTACTTTTTTAACATTAAGCTGTCTGTGGCTCTTTCCTGCTGTAACAAATGCAAATTTCCCCTTTGTGGGACTAATAAAGGTATTCTGATTCTGAAAGGAAGGGTGCCTTGCTCCCCACTTCAAGGTCATCATCTTCTGTATGACAGCTGGATATTTCCAGCAGGCATGGCTTGTTGAGAGGCCTGAATGTACAGTGAATATGGGCTCAGCAAATATTACTTCAGAATCAAGGACACCATATTGGGCTCTAACGTGTACAAGCAAAACATGTCATAACTTTACACTTACAGAATTCTTAAATCAGCAAGTGAGTAATTATTGTGCTCAAATTAATTAGATATTCACTATTAACAACTTAGAATGGATTGAATTGGAAGCCTTACAAGAACTACACCATAGTTGTCATTCATGTTTTATCACTCCATCAGGAAACTGACCTGCTGTCTCAAATTACTGCAGATGATACAGTCTGAGGTGTAATTAAAAAACAATTAAGAAAATGTGGCAGGCTAAAAGCACCTTCACCTCCCCTCAGCTAAATGAGGCCATTAAGCATTCTGGATATGACTTTTAGGCAATAACCAGGTGTGTGTAGGCAGAAACCATCACAGTCCCACAATTTGTCTCTTGAATTCAGAGCCGCATGTTCTAATATTAGATGATCAAAACAGACGATAAAAGCATATTTGAATTTGATGAAAGCAATAAAATTGCTCTTGTTAAACTTGTTATGATATAGTTGTTTATACACTTCATTAATACAGCATAGCAAGTTCAACATAAAAAAAAATAGGTTAACTCTTTACATTAAGATTATTTAATAAGCATTAGTCAACGGAGCCCCGCGCGCACCCCCCCTGAAATTCAAGGTGTTTCTTTTTTCTTTTTTAATAATACATTATTTATAGCACCAAATTGCAACTAATCTATCTACTGTCACTTTTCACATTGAACATGTGCTCTTTTATTAAATAAACTAAACACTTTCATTTTAAGTAATGAGTTTAGTGTTTTTGACCCTAAGAAACACCGATGCATTAATCAATAACAATAATCCACAGCTCGTCTCTCTGCTCCAGAGGATTTAAAAAAACCTCAATACCACAAATAACGGATCTGCAAATACGGTAAATATTTTCACAAATAAAAAAAAAGATCTGTGAATATTTCTTTAACATTGACAACTTTCGATCAGGCATTTGTGAATTCATTTTGTATTTGTCAACCAAAAATGCACTTGTGGATCTGAAATCTCACACAGAGTGTTGAGACTAACCTCCTGCCGGTCTCGGCTAAAATCTACTCGTGTCACTCGGTTATTTTCGGAAACCACGTGATGGCCTGCTGATGACGACATTTCCGCATGATTTCAAAGTAAGAGCATGATGGTTTGTTTAATGCACTGTTTTGTATTATTATTATGAACAGCGGAACGTATGCATTCTTTATCACCATCATCATGTTATAGTGGTACAGTTAGTTTGTGTTGTGAGCTACAGCAGCGAAGCAGCCCCAGAGATAACTCTTTCTTCATTGTTTTTTGTGTATTCAGTCAAGCGGGTCAAAGTTACAAAGCACTTCACATCTTATTAATCGGCCTAGTTTTACCTTACCAGTGCAGTGGTAAAGTAATCTGTAGAAAAGCACCGTATTTAGGTCAGCCTTCATAGTAAGGCTACATTAAATGTTATAATATTCATCGTGTCCTTTCTACTGTATATGCATATATTCCTGTCTATTGCTTTTATTTAATGTTATTATGTTTATACTTGTTTCCACACATTTCACAATTTGGGATGAATGAAGTATCCATATATATCTATATATATATATATATATATAGATATATATATATATATGACCTGCCCCACCGGGGGGGGGCTACGATAATAAAGGGGGTTAGGATACTTGGCACTAACCTAGGTTCCCCAAGGCGAGCCCTTAGGACAAGTCACGCAGATACGAGTAAAAGGATGGACAGGGACGTGGCCTCAAGTTCAAATGTTTACAAAAGTTTATTACATAAATAATCAGGTAAGAGTTCAGTATTTATAAAATACAGATTAAAACTTGTTGAGCTTCCCCAGTAGATACACCTACATCTCACAATTGGAGGCTGGCTCTGACAAGGAGAGAAGAAATAGCAGGGTTATAATATCACGACTATGGTGATAGTTAAAAAGGTAAGTGATTCAACTGGCCAAATGCTGAGGGTTCCTCCAGAATCACAATATCACCACGTGTAGCTGCTTTCAATTAACAATCACTGCAAATCACCCATATACCTATCTGCATGCAAAAAGTGCCCAGCAACCCACATGCTCCGCTCCACATATGGACAGGATTGTCACTGAAGAAGGATAAAAAGCACAGAGACAGTATTAAAAGGTGGGTCGTTACAAGGAGGGTGATGTAGCTTTAAAAACTCAATCACTAGTTTGTACACAATGATACAACAAACTAGTCTATAAGCAAAACATAGAAGGAAGGCAAATCAATACATAGGCAAACATAGTATTTAGGCACGATAAAATGTAACAAAAAAACAAAAAAAGAGAAAAGGGAAGGCAAAACAGTAGCAAACTAATCCTCTGGTCGCCCCTACCCCTAATGCAAAGCATCCACTCAAATATCACCTCACTGGACACCTCCGCAGCGGTGATTCTTTACACGGTCTCTGCTGGGGCTGCCAAGAAGCCTCGTATAGGGGAAATACACTCCTATCAGCCAGACAACGATGACCAGAACAAGAACACACTCGTAATAGTCACAGCTGATTTGGATGAGGTGCCAGTGGGCATTTCAAGTGTAGCGGGAGATGCTGAACTACGTACAGCTGCGGCGTTTTCCTTATATGGAAAGACCAGCTGACTAAAGAAGGGGGGTGTGTCTTAAAGGGGCAGTGGCTGCCCAGCCACGTACAAAAATGATCTGACAGATAATCCATAAAACAGTAGCGCCAGCTACATATAGATATATATATATCTATATAGATATATATATATATGAAGAAACACACTCCTCAATGTCAGTTTCAGTGTTTTAATGACAAAGATGACGACACCCTGTAACAGAGTAATACAGTGAGGTAAGCTGACAAAGTATTACATACATGCATGTCATCATTAACACAACACAAATATATGCTACGACACCACGTATATATACACCAACAATAGTGGGAACAGTTTTACATGTGTGAGTGGATGAACGTCTCGACACGAGGCGGAGTGAATGAACAATGTTTGAACTAAGATGGCTGCTCAGTACTACCGGGTCAGAGCACGGCATATCCTGTGCGACAGCAGTGACACGCTGCCCTCTAGTGGCCGGCGATAAACTCTTCATCCCCCCCAGACCGGAAAGCTATAGGCTGGAATAGATTAACGGTCTAAATCCCGTATCCAGCTGCCGGACTCGGGCTCGTAGCGTGCCGGCAGGTATTGGACCAGGCCAGCTGAGCCCGCCAGGGCAGTACCCGCCGTAGAACTCAGGACCTCTACCCAGCCCGAAAGCCGATCCCCGACAACTAGGTAGTGGCGGCCCCCATAGTCGAAGAAGTCAGCAAACACCGCCTCGAATGGCGTGGACGGGGGTGGTGACGGCAGGGGGGGTGTAGCCGCCTGTGACGGAGCATTGCGGTTGCAGTCTGCACACCCGTCCCTGGTGGCCTGAATGTCCCCGGACATCCCGGGCCAGTAAACTATGGCTCGGGCATGCTGCCCCATCGCTGAGGTCCCCTGGTGAGCGGCATGGAGATGCCGAAGGACTCTCCCACGGAGGGATGGGGGGACCACGACACGGTCCCGATAGAGCAGGACGCCGTCCTGTGCGTAGACGGACTCACAGACCGATGACAGACTCGCCAGGGCAGGGTCGTTAACGTCAATCCCACCCTCCTGCTCGATGAGTTGGAGGAGGTGGCCGAGGCATCCGTCAGCCGCTGTCTCCCGTGCGAGGAGGGGCCAAGAGACGGCTCCGAGCTCCCGTGCGTCGTCGCGGATGGAGGCCATGAGTGCTGACTCCACGGCGTCAGGCCCGCTCGGCAGCCCCAGTAAGAGGCCGTTCGCTGAGCCCGAGGGGGAAGGATGCCTTGACGTGGCATCAGCGGCATAGTTGCTCTTGCCAGGCAGATGCACAATGTCGAAGCGCCATGGGAGGGTGCGCTGCTTGAGTCTAAACAGACGCGAGTTTGTTATCTCATCCAGCGTACGGTCACCAAAGATCTTCACCAATGGCTTATGGTCGGTGACCACGACGAGGTTGTCGGACCCCTGCGTGAAGTACCGCGTCTGTTCCAGACCCCAGGCCACAGCTAGGGCCTCTCCCTCGACGGCCGCATAGCGCTGCTCCGCAGGGGACAGGAAACGCGAACCCGCGAGGGTGATCCTCCATCCTCCTGGACAGCAGTCCGGTATGCCCGAGGCACAGTGACAATGTTGCTGGAGCAGGAAGTAGCCAATGCCACGCATGGACCAGTCAGGGCGGAGGCAGGTACGCTTCTGCATGTCGTAGATCTCCACGCCCTCGCGGATGGCCTCCATTATGGCTTGCTTGGACGTCTGGAAGGCCTCCTCCAGAACGGGGGACCATAGGAACACACAGCGCGGGCTGAGGAACGGCTTAAATGGGGCCATCGTGTCACGCAGCTGGGCGTAGTTAGCCACCTGGTTGACGAGGCCAAACCAACTCCTGATGTCCGTCGTGGAGCCTGGGGTGGGGAAGTCCCGGATGGCGTCCAAGTATTTCGGGAGCGGTTCGATGGTAGATTCCGACACCCTGAAGCCGGCGAAGTCGACGCACCTCTCCGCGAACTGAAGCTTGTCCGGGTTCAACACGATGCCCGACCGGCCGACACGCGTCAGGAAGTCGATGGTCCTCCACCAGGGTTGCTCCAGGTCGGTGTCATAGTGGATGGTGTTCTGGATTGGCAGAACTTGTTGAGGGGGGAGAGGTCCACAGTCCTGCGGGGGGAACCGTCGTGCTTCCGAGTGACTACCATGCGATGGCACCACGCCACTGGCTCGCCGTATGGTACGCGTTCAATGACCCCGAGGGCTTCGTCCCGCAGGAGGTCATCGTGGACCCTCCGCTGCCAGTGTAGAGGCACTGTAGCCGCGGTGTGGCATGCCTTAGGCGTAGCTGCGGGGTCCACGTGCATCTCGATAGGTGGCCCCTCCATGCATGGTAGTGCCCGATGGGGGCAAGTATTGAATGTCGACGAGGCATATCTCCCGAGCAGCCAACCTTTCATCCGGCTGTTGTTCTCTGGCGTACAAGGGAATGGCAGAGCTGCGGGGCGCGCCGGGGGGACCGTGCGCTGAGGACATGAGCACTGGGCGTCCTGGGGGTCACCTGGCCCCACGCAGCCGCCGTTGGTTGACCTCGTCGCATTGACGGATAAGGGCTGGTCTGGCGTGTCAGCCGTGTCAGGGCCACACCCGTCCTGGGGCCCCCCTGCAATGTCGTCCGACGGGAAGCCCACGGGCAAGAGGCCGAGGTTGAGCAACGACTCGTAGGATAGGTACATGGCCCGGACTGAGCTGCTCACGTATACCATGGAACGGCAGGATGTAACACGCCCCCCGCTGCAGGTCGTCGAGAGCCTGGCGAAGAACGCTCCCTCGATGGCTATAGGGGAGCGGTTGGCGGCCGACAGGCTGAGGCTGACGGGTCGCAAGTCGTCCCGCGCGAAACCGCAGGCCAGGAACTCCTCCAGAGACCAAAGGTCCGACTGCGCGCCAGTGTCCGCTCCGTCGGATATCCGAGCTCCGTCGGCCGAGCCCCGGTTGCTGGTGCCATCCCTCAGCCCGACTGGCGAGTCCATCGAGATGGTGATCAATGCTCGGGGGTGGTCTCTCATCCTGGCTCGTCTCCATTCGCCTTTGGAGAAGATGTGGTGCTCGAGTCTGATAGGTGCAGGCTTGTTGAGACAGCTGTGCGACGTAGGGGCGCGGCGTCGGCGATGGCTCCCGTGACGTTGGCCAGGGCGGGCTCCAGCTCGCACCGACGAGACCTGGTTTCAAGGTTTCAAGGTTCTTTATTGTCAATCTGACATAGCTACAGAGTAATTATGCAGTTGAAAATCTTATGTCACAGGCTTCTCCAACAATGCAACATAATAACATAACATAATAACAATAAGAGCATGAGCAATACAAAAATAATAATAGTTATAAAAATGAAATAAAGTTATGATGTGGAATAGTGCAGTATGAGTCTATATACAAGTTATTGGAATGATATATATATATTAGGTATTAGATACATACTACTGAGTAGCAGTTGAATGTTTGAAGTTGTTTCAACAGTTCAATTTTTTAACAGTCTCACTGCCCGCGGGAAGAAACTGTCTCCGAATCTTCTTGTCCTTGCCAGGATGCTGCGGTAACGTCTGCCAGACGGCAACAGAAAGAACAGTTTGTGGCTGGGGTGATGGGGGTCTTTGATAATCCGTAGTGATTTCTTCCTGAGCCGCTGGGAGTAAAGGTCCTCCATGGATGGCAGCTCCGTCCTGGTGATGTGCTGTGCAGTTTTCACCACCCTCTGTAAAGCCTTACGATCGAGGTCGGTGCAGCTGCCGTACCAGGCCGTCATGCTGCCAGTGAGGATACTCTCTATCGTGCACCTGTAGAAGTTGCAGAGTATCCTGGAATCCATTTTGAACCTCCTCAACCTGCGGAGGAAGAAGAGCCGCTGTCGAGCTTTCTTGGTGATGGTGGTGGTGTGAAGAGACCATGTCAGGTCCTCAGTGATGTGGACCCCAAGGAACCTGAAGCTTTTGACTCTCTCCACCGTAGTCCCATTGATGGCGATGGGGGCGTGTCCCTCTCCCTGCTGCTTCCTTTAATCCACAATCAGCTCCTTAGTTTTGCTGATGTTGAGATGGAGGTTGTTCTCCTGGCACCAAGATGTCAGGTTTTCGACCTCCTCTCTGTACGCCGTCTCGTCATCGTCTGTGATCTGGCCGATGACGGTCGTGTCATCAGCAAACTTCACGATGGTGTTGGAGCTGTGTGTGGCCACGCAGTCGTGGGTGAACAGGGAGTAGAGGAGAGGGCTGAGCACGCAGCCTTGAGGGGCACCGGTGTTGAGAATCAGGGTGGAGGATGTGATATTTCCCACCCGCACTGCCTGGGGTCTGCCCGTCAGGAAGTTCAGGATCCAGTCACAGAGGGCGCTGTTGAGCCCGAGGTCTCTGAGCTTGATGGCCAGCTTGGAGGGCACAATGGTGTTGAATGCTGAACTGTAGTCAATGAACAGCATTCTCACATATGTGTTCCTGTTCTTCGGGTCCAGGTGTGAGAGGGCAGTGTGGAGGGTGAGGGCTATGGCGTCGTCTGTGGACCTGTTTGCTCTGTAGGCAAACTGCAGGGGGTCCAGAGATTCAGGGAGGGAGGAGGGTGATGAATAATTTGACTAACCGCTCAAAGCACTTCATTATGATGGAGGTGAGTGCTACTGGGCGGTAGTCGTTGGGGCAGGTGATGATTGTCTTTTTGGGGACAGGAATGATGGTGGAGTGTTTAAGACATGTGGGGACTACAGACTGCAGCAGGGACCTGTTGAAGATGTCTGTGAACACCTCTGCCAGCTGAACTGCACACACCCTGAGAACACGGCCAGGGATGCCATCAGGTCCAGGAGCCTTGTGTGGGTTAACCCTTTTAAAGGATTTACACACATCTGCCCTATTTAAAACAAAAGGGCAGTGTAGCTCCTGGTCCCTCTGTACCTCCACAGCCTGGCTGCTCTCAAAGCGTGCAAAAAAAACTGTTTAGCTC